ACCAGCTACGACCTTGACCCTTCAGAAGAGCTACAGCCACGACGTCTAGAACTCACTAAGACCAGTATCCTACAGGTCTACAGATCGAACCCCTACCACCTACGGACCTACGACAGCCTACCAACTGTTGCAAATACACAGGTCACGGGTTCAACTCTCGGGGTCGACACAGATACTGTACACAAGTAAGGTAAGAACTAGGGATCGAGCCCTGGGATCTGCATTCGTTACTGCTAACAGATGAATACCGTTTCACTCCCGCCGGCCTAAATTCGAGGTCCTTCGAGAATAATTCAGTCCAAGACCGGATTTTTACCTTTCCTTTCTCTCTCGTAGGCTCTAACTACGCCGGGAGCTGTTTCTAGAAGTTCAGTTCTAGTAAACCAGCGGCCGGCCTTGGGTTCCTGATAAGCAAATCGGACCTTATACTGTTTCTGTGGACGACCTCTACCTCCTGTTCTGAATACGTCTTCACCTATAATGCCCTCAATGTCATATCTTCCATCCATGTCCGAAGGGATCATGGATCTTCTTGATGGAAACTGTTGACTTGTGACACACGGCAATAACTTTGACGCATGGAACACAGGGTAGGTGTGGAGGTGTGCTGGGATCTCTATCTTATACGACGGTCCATCCTCTCCGCCCTTAACTTCTAGAACTGGCCACGGTCCTCTTTATGCCGGCAGTAACTTTTGCGAAATGTTTTCCTCAGGAGCAAACTCTTTGGACTTGACCCAGACTAAGTCGCCTACTTGAAACTGTGACGGGCGACGATGCTTGTTAGCCTGCTCTATCATTCTGTGTTGGGCCTTCCTAAGGTTTTCAACAACGGTAGCTAACTCCTCGTGCTGTATCGCAAACTCCCTAGTACCGGGCGGTAGCCTATGAACCTGGTCCCGGTTAAGTCCTTCAAACGGTCTGCGCGGTCTAAAGTACTTATGCAGCTCATTGGGAGTACGATAGGTGGCTAGGTGCACGTTGTTGTTATATGCACTGGCTACCTTGGGCAACATCTCGTCCCAGTTGACTTAATCTGGTCTAATGTACATACAAAAAACTTGTTGCAGGATCTTATTCATCTGCTATGTCTGGCCGTTAGTCTTTGGGTGACGGCCAGACGACATCAACAACTTTGAGCCGTATACTCTCATTAACTCCTACCAGTTCTGACTTGTAAACCGGGTGTCCCTATCACTAACTATGGACAATGGGATCCCCTGATCACTAATCCAAAAGTCAAAAGTTTCTGAATGACTAACTCTGTACGGGATTCTGTGGGTAAGGGAACAAAAACAACATACTTGCTAAATCTATCCACTATTACCATGACTCGGCTCTTGCCATGCCTACTCTTGACAGTAGCATCCATGAAATCAATGGATACTAAATCACCAGGTTGATCAGATATGGGCAAGGGTCGAAGAAGACCTAGAGGGGCACGAGTAGTTGTCTTATTCCTCTGACAAACTTTGCAACTGCGAACATACTCTATGCAGTCGACTTTAATTCTTGGCCAAGTATATGCTTGCATCAGATTGGCTAGAGTCTTTTGCCAACCGAAATGTCCCTCTGTGTTGTGGCATTCCCCTAGGATCAAACTACGGATCTCCTCGCTATTAGGAACGGACAAACGGTCTACTACGTTGGTCTTCTCAAAGAGTAATCCCTCTGTAGTGCGATAATCTGGTTCAATCTCTGGGCCTCCTTGACTTTCTTGAGGAGGTCACTATAAATAGGGTCCTGCGCATACGCCTGTCTTACTTTCTCTTGCAGGTCTCTCCCTATATCCAGACAGTGAACTACAGCTCCAAAGTAATCTAATCTCCTACTTAGAGCATCCGCAACTACGTTATACTTGCCCTTGACTGGTTTAAGCTCAAAGTCATACTGATCTATCTCAACGGCCCACCTAGTTA